TCAACATTATCTTTGCCATGAAATGGGGGAAGAGTGATGTTGGGTTCCCTATTGGGAGACTCCCTATGTCTATGATGCCTTGGGGGCCTTTGATAGTAATCATCATTGTGATGACTACTAAAGAAGATATCACTTGGAGGTTGGGTATGATGCCCTTCCTCCTCATGAACACTTGAATGTCTATGCCCCCCTCTTCTTGAGGGTTGAGGAAAGGTGACTGTTGGTTTTGAACCACTAACTTTCTCGATCCTCCATGTTTCTTTTGTACTATTACATATGATTCTCATTATTGAGACTTTTTTTTTTTAATTTTGCAAAATTGAAAATTTCTACTAAGTCAATACAAAACACACAATAATATAAAAAAAAATTAACAATAAAAACTAAAAAATTACTATCCAAATGAATTTAAAAAATTAAAAAAGATAAAAAATATGTCGTTCAACGCTCAAAATTGAAAGACCCTTTTCTATCCTCACAAAAAGAATGCTACAAAAAGAATTATCGAGAATTAAAAGAATTAACATGAATTACAAGTATAATTTTTTTACAAAAAAAACTATTTTATACTATTTTTTTAAAAAAAATAAAATAAGTTATATTTTAATTAAATATAAATAACTGTATCTCTTTTTTTTAATCAATAAATATTTCGATAATATCAACCAAATTCAATCTTAAAACTTAAAATACTTGTTAGTACATCATAAAGAAGGGTTTTGAATGAAAATCACAACTACTCCTCAGCAGCAGTCACAAGTAGGCAGCCACCTACCCACCATGGTCCTCCAGTTTCCTGTCAGATGTTGAAAAATTAAATTAAAATAAAAAAGAAGAAAAAACAGAGTTGCATTACATTAGAGCATTCCCACCACATGCGCAGACACGTGATTCAGGATCTCTCTCTATCTGTTTCTCAATTCCCATTCATATTCAGAAGTGAAAAATTCATTACCCATTTTCTCTCTATATTTCATTTAAAAATTTATAAATTAAATTAAAGAATCAAAATTAAATTATAAAATAAATAATTAATAATTTAAAGACTTGAGTGATTAGAAATAATTAATTTATTTGAATAATAAAACTATAATAAATTTTAGTATTATTTATTTTTAATTTGAAAATTTAAAAATAAAATTGTTTAAAAAATTATAACGAGTAAAAATGGTTCCAAACCTAAGTATGGGCTATATATAGGTAGATATTCTTGCGATCTGTGAGTCTCTTTCTCTTTCCCCTCAACACAACATGTTCCTCTTCGACTGGTTCTATGGCATTCTCGCTTCCCTCGGTCTCTGGCAGAAAGAAGCCAAGATTCTCTTCCTCGGTCTCGATAATGCCGGCAAGACCACCCTTCTTCACATGCTCAAAGACGAGGTTCCCCTTCTCTTCTCTTTTTTCTTTATTCCTTTCAAGGTTTCATTTTTTATTTTTCTAATTTTGAAATTCCCTTGCAGAGATTAGTTCAGCACCAGCCCACCCAGCACCCCACTTCCGAAGAATTGAGCATTGGGAAAATCAAGTTCAAGGCTTTCGATTTGGGTGGCCATCAAGTTGCTCGTAGGGTTTGGAAAGACTACTATGCCAAGGTTTCTTTTTTTTTTTTTTTTTTGGCTTCAGCCTCTTGATCTTTATGTTGGATGACAATCTGTGATTTTTCTTTCTGACTTTAGGGTTTCTCAATGTGGGGTTTGTTTCATACTTGGATGGGGTGGAACTTGTAGCTGATGATAGTTTTCTGGGGTTTGAAAGGTTTTATTGTTTCATTGTTGGCTCAACTGCTTTTGACAAGGTTGTGGTGCAACCAACATGTTCATAATAACCTGGTTGTTGTATTTGTAGTTCTTTTTGAATCTTTACTTTGTTGGGTTTTATTTAATTGGTATAGTATTTCTGAAATATGTTGGTTGGATACGACTTCTTCACTGACACTATAAGTATAAACCCAGCACCTTTACTTCTGTGCTGGCTTGTTCAATATGGTTTGCAAGATTTTATAATGAGGTGTTTGTAACTGAGAATTTTGTTGATGTATTATTGTTTCTGCTTCTGTAAATCTTTGAATATTCTCAGCATCTATATTTTAGATTCTGTCTTTGTGCAGTTGTTTTCACTCTTTTGGTTAATAGTTTAGTATAACACAACTATTGGCTTGACTTTCGTAT